TCTTCTTTGGTAAGACACGTCCGGTTCTGTACCCGGAACGCTCTCCATTTCCACGAGTCTGTCCATTACCCATTTTCTCTTCTCGTTTAGGGGGAGGTCCCTGTTCTGGTTCGTGAAGTTGAACAGGACTGCGTGCTTTTCGTAGAGTTCATTCAGCGATTGCAGGTCCTGTTTGGGGTATTCCCACACTTCGACCTCTGTTTCTTCACCTGCGGCGTTTTTAATTACCTCCTTCGTCTTTATTATTTCTGATTTGATTTCCGCTTTGCTCATTAGGAAATCCATCGCTCGCTGACCCAAAGATTTCTGCGATGGTGTTGTTTTCTGTATTCCTTGAGGGGTAGCTTGTGATGAGTTTTTTTACCCCGGGGACAAAGGCTCATTTGAGCGTGGTTTTGCCTCTGATTGGGCTTTCTCTTCCGCGGCCAGGGCCCTTCTGGCCGCTTGGATGTAGGTCATCAGATGGTGTACTGCTTCCCTTATCGGTTTTGCAGTAGTCGATTCTTTAGACTTGAAGGAGATTCCAAGATGCAGGTTATCTGACCAATTTTGCGGTCCTCTCTCTCCCCCCTGCGGGTGGTGTCTAATGGGGGGCACAATGCTTAATCGGTTCCCTTGTGCAACTGCGGACACAATTGACTGTACTTGAAAATGTTCCAAATTCTTCAGCGATTTCTCTCCCCACCCGGAGATCGGAGTTCCGATCGGGTAGAGCTGCGGGGATTTTTGCAGTGTAGTGCTTTCGCGGTGACACTTTCCCTCCCCACCTGGGTGGTCGTGAGTAATATTGGGGCGAATTAATCAGCTAATAATATTAGTAATAATAATACTAATACTAATAATACTAATACTAATAATACTAATACTAATAATAATAATAGTAATAATAATAGCAATAAAAATAATCTTAAAATTGGAGTGTCAAAAGGGAAGATAGTGTTGTCCGCTATTTCACGGAAAAAGAACCGAGCAAAAAGGCTGATCCCAACAGGGGTATCATGCATTCGCTTGGTCAAATCCTCATTCTTTGTTCGGTCGTCCCTCTTCGAATTGCTTGTGAAAAAAAAGGGGTTGTGATATAAAGTAGGAATTTGGTAAGTAAAGTTGAGAGACGGCTGATGGTTAACTGGGAACAAATTAGGGGGTGCTCAAGATCAATACTCCATACGCTTGTTTCAATCGAATCCTTGCGTGGTTCCTTTGCTGGTTTTGCTCGTGTGCCGTTTGGGCGCTGTGCTGGACGACGTACGAGGCGGATGTCCGTGGGGAGTAGTTGCGGGGGGGGGGGAGGCGGTGATGGGGAACAGGAGCAGAGTGCGGGGCGGAGTGTGGGATTATTGTTTTGTTGGGAAAGGAAGTTAACGGTGGGGGGGGGGTGAGCGGAAGCGGAGTTATCCTCCTGGTGAGGATACTAGATACGTAAAAGAAGTCCGGACTGCCGGAACTGGAGGTGTGGTCCGCTGTGCCGGCCGGTGGGGCTTCCTTCCCAGCTCGGATTCATGCGTAATTGATCTAGTGTGGGCTGTTCCTTCGAAATCGGTCCCTCAGTTCCCCTGGGAATCCTGCCTACTTTTGCGGTGAACTACCGCACAATCTATGCTGTTTACGGTAAATGCGGTCCCTTTGTTTATCCCTCTAAAAACAGGAGAGGACACGCCTGATGATTACTAGGTCTGATTAGTTGTCGCTTGTTCTCGTCTCTCGTCCGTTGCTCTTCTCCCTTGGAAAGCTTGTCGTCGTCTTGTTGTCCCTTGCGCACGGTGTGGGTGAATGCAGGGGTAAACTCCGGTTCTTACCTTCAGATTGAGGAGCGGACTGATCACACCTTGTAAGTCGCCCTGATGATATGGTTGGGTGTGTTGTCGCTTCCTTCCTCGTTCGTGTGGTGCTTGGCTGTGCTTGCCCTTCCCTTTCCTCCTCCCTTGTTTGGAAATGTTCCGCTTGGCTTACTTTTCTCTCCCAATCCCTTGTCCTTTCCTCCACTTAGGCATGACTTGTTCCTCCCTTTCCCCTCCTCCTTGCTCTCGTTTTCCTCCCCCTTCCTCCTCTTCTCCCCCCTTGTGGTTGTTTGTGGTTAGAGGTGCCACACCCTTGGGCGTGGCGTGACGTGGCTTCCCGTGTTTTCGCCTCATGAAAACCCTCTCCGCATCATGCGAAATCGAAAAATGGCGGGTGCGCGCGAAAACAAGCCGCCTGTGAGAGCGAGCTGTCGTCTGTGTCTTTTCCTATTTCTCTGTCCTGTATGAATTTGTTATTGACGGCAGGCTAACTACTTCTAAGTTTGTTTTGTCGGCACATACCCCATTGTATTGTTTCCTGTCTGTACTATATTCCCCGGAGTGTTCTATTCAACGCAGTAGAAAGAATCAGTTGCTTTTGGCTGCCCGCCACCATAGCGGGCTTAACACTATCTGTGTTTGTTGTCTTCTCATACTACTCTACTGTATGTGCTATGCTCCTCATAATGGACTATTCGCAGCAGTAGAAGGTGTTTGTTGTCGTTAGTTGTTCGCTGTTGTCGCCACCTTCCACTTGTTCTATGGTTCTCTGTCCGGCCCCTGTACCGAAGGAGAAGCCATATTCGCACAGATGAGGATGTCATGAAGCTGTGAGGATGTTGTCACCATTTTACTCCCTTTGAGCATTCTCAGCATTTGCTGGCGCCTTGGTTTCCCTGGCTGGCCGGGTGACGGGGTGGGTGGAGGGAGCTGGTGGGCTAGAGTGTGGGGGAGATGGCGCTGGGGACAGATCAGCCTGAGGGAGCGGAGGGGGTTGCGGTGGGGTGACAGACGAAGGCCCCGACTTTTTTTGGGGGGGCGTTGTCATTATTGTGGATGTCAGACCGGTTCGCAAATCCGTTATCCATGGGATGACGGTGTCCCCTGTTGTTGCCATTACACACCGCCAGCCTTTCCTGCATGATATGTTCGTCTGCATGGGGCCCAGAAAACGTCCTCGTTCATGGGTTCACGGCACATGGTTTCCCGGCTTTTTTCGATGCGGTGTTGTGTCCATTCGTGGATAGCTCACAGTACTTACTGTAGCGGCACTGCAAATCATCATAACTCGCCACCTAAGAAAATAAAGAGAAAACCAAACATATTCCCGAATCGTGAATAGAAAAAGCATGATCCCATTTCTTTTGAATGAAAAATAGTGTTTTCCACTGTCACACCGTTGAGTTACCTCAAGTCCATTTTGGGGCTGGTCGACAAATTGAAGAAATCCTACGACACATGGGGCGACTGAGTGCAGGGGCCATGAGACCTGGTACCTGAAACACAGAGAAGCGGAAAACTGGACTCAACAGGAATCACAAGGACTGGCAGTAAAGTACAAAGTGCCCTGGGAGAGATCGGTGAAGAAAATGAAGCAAGACACCGGAGTCGACAGAACCCACGAGGACTGGCACTACAGTACGAAGGGCCCAAGGAGAAACCCGACAACTGAAGATACACAAGCAATCCTGGACTACTGCGGTATCGGGTGACTCACCCGAATATTTTGTTATTCATATAACCAAACTACGTTTTTTGCATTTTCTGTTTTTTGAATTATTTATTCGCACACGTTTTTCAGTACGAGAGTGTTCTCAAGGACTGGTGTGATTAAGTTTTTTTGGGAGGGACCTTCGACTATGGTCGAGCAGATCAGATATAAGAAGAGAGCGGATGCTCTCCACACAGACTGAGTGCGTATGAGGAGAACGTCTGTGGCATGGATGTGTCATGCTTACAGCAATCTGGTTACGGTCGATAATAATCCTCTACTACATTGTTGATTTTGAATTTTTGAGTCTCATCTCTCACTTGAACCAAGCGAACGATCTCGCGGTTGTGCTCGGTCACGCTCGCCTGGTGGCGTGTTATCTATGTATGAAGTAAGCCTGGTGTACGTGAGTATTCTAAGGACATTGCCTAGTAGGTACATGTGTTTTTCCATGCTATTCTTTATGAATTATCAATATTCTTCATAATTATGTACAATTATTCTACATTCCTATCTCATCATCCCCACTATCCTTCTGAACTATCGAAGGCAACACCCCACTCGCCAGTAGCTCATCTGTGCGGCGATTACGGAACACGCTGGCTTCCTCCTCGTGAGCTAATCGGTGCTGTCAGTCACTGTTTTCAATCGAACATGTGATCGCAAGAGATAAATGCACGACACCATGTTCACGCATATTCACACCGTGCAGGTTTATAGCACTTATCACATTTACTCCTAGCACGGAATTCAGCGTTTTCGCATCGGACGTTGGAGTCGGTGGAGTCACTTCAATGCAAGAACGAAGAAAAACGAAGCCGCAGCAGAGCCAAATTGGAGGACGGGACTGTATGTATGGGAGAGGAGGTGCAAGAGGACGAGGGAGGGGTCGAGGAAGGTGGTCGGGTTGCCGCAGGTATTGGATGGAATACCAGGGAACCCCACCTGCCTCGATCGGCGCTCCTGCGCAGCAACCGAGCCAGATCCCGAGAGCATGAACACCACCAGGGGGGGATATCCGCCGTACCTTCCGTACGGATGGGCTCCACCGCCACCTAACACATACCGTGGACCAAGCTACGCACCGCCTCCACCTCAGCCGACACCACATCATCCACCTAGACGGGATCAGGCCACAAATTCATTTCCACCTGGTTTACCCGTGAGCACCTTGAGCTGATCGAAAGATGGAAGCAAGTTGAAGAAGACAAAAAGAAAACCTGCACTGTCGGACCAAATCAGAACAATATTGGAGAAAGCAAGAAGTCTCAAGGCAAGAATTTCGAGGATGGGGAACAAGGACGCAATACATGGTTGGCTAGTAACTTTGGACCAGCAGTGAAGCGCATCTCTGACCAATTGGATGTCGTGGACAGAAAGGCAATGGTTGCCAACATGGAGAGAGAGCGGAAGATTCAGATGATGTCGGAACTCGAGGCCAAGAATAAGGAGGCCGATCCCGATAGTAACGGGAAGTGCAAGCGTATCGCCGGGATAAACTCACCGGCTGCGGAAGGAAGGAAGTCTAGATCCCAATCCAGGAGCGGCAAAATCAAGATTCGTCAGTCGAGCATTCTATTGCCGTCGTACAACGAAGGTTAAAAAAAAGCTGCAAAAAGTTATTGTTGAAGGTGACGGAGCAATGAACCAGAACCAGGGTCAGGGTTCTCGTATCGTTAAACTCGAAGACGTGATGCTGATGCTGAAGGAGATCGTCGGGAAGGTCGATGGGAAGAATCCTGCCAAGGGGAACGAGAATGCAAAGGCGTCAACAACCATGAGATCAAGTACGGTGCAAAATGAGGAGCGGACCGAAGAGAAGGCTGGAGCGAAGTCCGACGACTCCGAGGAAGAGGAGGGTGAGAAGTTGCGAATGAATCGAGGAAGCAGTTCCTATGGGAGTAAGCGGGAGATAGGAGTAATAGAATATATGAGACAAAGATTGGATCACTACATGGAGATGAACGGGAGAAAAGTGAAGAGTTTGTGTCTCAAACAGAGCGTGAAGTGGGTAAGAAAAGAGAAAGGTGCTTCGGAGCTTGCCAGGCGAGACACCAAGGAATTCACCCAATTAGTGAATGGAGGTGAAGGAGCAGAAGCCGAGGATGAGGAACATTCAGATGCCACCCGCGACAATCAAGAAAATGTACAAGCCGCATCTGACGCGAACGACTTAGAAGACATTTCGGGAAATTAGTCCCGAGAAAGAAGAGTCGTTATGATGGTCTGAATCCATGAGGTGAGTCTCCTAGATGCAAATCACATCAGGCCACTCTCTTCCTCCAATACCTCTCAACTGATCATAAATTGCTTGTTTTTTTTGGTACTTGGCAGATGCTAGACCATTAACGTTCAGAGATTTGAGGTCAAGGTCCGCATTCTCCTAAGTAATTTCTATATTTATCTTTGTTATAAAGGGCGTCAATTACTCGAAGGTTATCCATACCATAAAAACACAGTGAATTACCAAGTCAAGGTGTGGTAATAAGGCATGATGAAGGGGGGTCAAAGGGGGGTCAGAGGTCTAGCCACTGTCCTGAGTCCAATAAGCCACTTGTCATCAAAGTCTTAAGGCCTAGCAACTTGACCAGCAAAGTACTAACGTTTGTTTCTGACCAAAATTCATTTGCTTTCACCTTGAGAAGTTGGAGCTCACACAGGGCATCCTGACTGAACCATCTGAGGTCCATGTTCTTGCTAACTTCGTATTTCAAATATACATCTCCTTCAGTCAGCCTATGCACTCCATCTTTTACTGGTAGCAAAGCCTTTCCCCCAGACAGAAAGTTTGTCTTGACAAAACTTAATATATCGTTGTATGAAGAGGAAGGAGAGGGGGGGACTGACGAAGGTCCCAAAACTGTAACTTCTCCATAGACTGCTCCCGAGGGCTCAGATAAACCAACCTCCCAAGAACCTCCTTGATGTCTCACTAGTAAGAGTATCGTTCCAACTTTCGTGGGTGATAACTCTCCTTGACCCTTGGCTAGGCGATGTTTCAATTTTTGCCTTTTGCTTGTGAGTTCAGACTCAATGTCAAGAGAAGGGGTTGGGGAGGAAGGCGGGTTTTGGGAACTTATTATAGCCTCATGATCCTTCCTAATATCCCCTTCAGACTGGACATTGGAGGGATTCCCTGGTTGACCAGAAAGCTCTGTCTTGTGTGACTGCTCAATTACTTAGGAATTATGCGAATCTTTTGAAGCAATGGGCTCAAGGGACTGACTATCTGTGATAGTGTCACAAGAGTTTGAGGTCCCTAGAGACGCTGCAGGTTTCAGCAACTCATGATTTTTCTGCAAGTCCAATGACTCTGGGTCCCACTCAATCAGGTTCTGGTTATGTTTACTGGGTGAAGTGGACTGTAGTTTTTGTGGAATCTGCAAAAAGTTTTATCCCCCGTGAGCTCAGATATAATTACTTTAAAGAACTGACCGCCTTCTTTCTGTTTGGCTAGCTGTTGTGTGGGTATGACGTCTGAACCAGGAATCTCTTCATCCTCGGGGCCAGAGTACACTGAGTTCCCTGATTCGAGAGTAAGGGTTTCCTTGCAAGGATCATCAACTTGTGAAGACAGTTTCCCGTGATTAATCTCTACACTTTCCAAAATGATACTATTTTTGGTGATGGGAACTATATCATGACCCACTAATTTGAGTGGGCACGCTTTCAGTTGCTTGTTATCACCAACCTCATCCTCATCCTCTGTTTGCCTCAACAAGGGTTGAAAGCAATTATGAGAAGTAGACAGACCCACAGTCTGGTACCCAACATTGAATCTGGTGGAAACTATGTAGAGTAGTTTGGTACTATGTCTTCCCAAGTGACACCCTGTGGGGGACCTTGCAATAGAAAAGATTCCAAACTCTTATTACTTTCCAACATTAAAAGCAGCTCATGCAGAAAGAGGGGCCAGCTGGACTGGGGTATGCTGGGATGCTGGCTTTTCAGGTTGAAAAGCAGCCAATCCGCTATTTGGAGGATGACTGGCTTGACAGTGGAGGATACCGGGACATCAACAGTGTTGGCCCTCAGCCAAACAAAATAATGAATCTAACCTACCTATGTTACAACCTCGGGTCGAGGGGTCACTGTCGGCAGAAAACAGCAAGTCATTGCAACAGCAGCAATGACCTCCATAGTTGCTGTCCTCCCCCTAACATAACTCACACTTGTTCACGACCCTCATTTTGCCTGTACCGGACCAGAGGGGGGCAGGGAGGAGGGAGGGAGGGAGGGAGGGAGGGAAGGGGGGGGGGGGGGGAGAGAGAGAGAGAGAGAGAGAGAGAGAGAGAGAGAGAGAGAGAGAGAGAGAGAGAGTACGGCGTTCACAGCTGCGGTCCTCCCCGAACTGTAACGCACACCTGTTCGCGACCCTCATTGTGCCTGTATAGGACCACAGAGAGAGAGAGAGAGAGAGAGAGAGAGAGAGAGAGAGAGAGAGAGAGAGAGAGAGAGTACGACGTCCATAAGTAGTCCTCCCCAGAACATAATGTACACCACTGCTATGTTCATGACCCTCATTTTGCCTGTACATGACTGAAAAGATAGCGCTTGTATACATTCATTATCAGGGAGATAGCTTGTATACATTCAGTAGCAGGGTCTACCATAACGCCCTTGAATAATGAATGTATACAACCTATGTTTCGGTCCCGTACAGGCAAAATGAGGGTCGCCCTCTCTCTCTCTCTCTCTCTCTCTCTCTCTCTCTCTCTCTCTCTCTCTCTCTCTCTCTCTCCTCTTCTCTCCCTCCCTCCCTCCCTCCCTCCCTCCCTCCCTCCACGTCCGCGTGGGACAAATTCACACCCGTACACAGTTGCAATGAATTGCAGTTACTCACGCGGGTTGTACACTAAGTTTGGCTGTTGTTTGCCTATTTTGAGCTTTTCGGGACTTGATCCCGTGACCTACAGTTTGCATGTGTTGATTACTAGCTTTGAGTCTTGCTGGGCTTGATCCGTGAACCTGTCGCTGGTAGTCTCTATTAGACCCTTCAGGTCTTGCCGTTTTGTCCTTTTCTGCTCTTCTGGAAACAAGTAAGCCCATAGGTCTCTCGTTTGTGTGTCCTAGTCTTGGGTCCCGTAGTCTAGATTTCCATCTAGATGCATGTAGGCAGATCTTGACTGTTTGGCTGTAAATGTTTATTGTTTCGACAGTTAGGTTCGTAGGTGACTGCTATGTTGTAGGTCTACGGAAGTCACGGCTAATGTGGGGTTGGAGGGGGGTAGGGGGAGGTGTGAGTGACTAGCCAAAGATATGCGGCACTAGCATCGCCAGTTTCCCCCATCGGCAATGCCCGATCACCCCGCTGTCGTACCAAATACCCTTACAAGGGTATTTGGCGTGTTTTCTGCAAGTTACGCCAGTGCAGCCTCGCCCGTCTGACGACGCGCGCGAGAGGAAGCTTGGGTCCTTGCCTGGGCGAGCGGCGCGCGCGTGGTATTGACGATGAGGCACAACCATGCACAACTTGGCTGGGCGTGGCGTCGCAGACTAGTGGGATGCGCGGCGTCCATTCTCGGTTTTATTATTTGTTTATCTTTTTTATTTTTTGTTTATCTTTTTTATTTTTTGTTTCCACCTCGGTAATGGTTTTGAGGCCGTCGTCGGACACGGGTGGCCGTTGCGGCGGTCGAGGACCTTGAGTGTGCGCCTCGCTCGACGGGCCGCGGGTTCAGGATGCTGGCGAAAGTCTCCTACCACGCCATCGCTAAAAACACGGCGCGGTCAGGGCATGAGTGTGTAATTACACTTGAGGCAAAAGGGGCCGGTAATGCTGAATGTATATGACCTACGCTTCGGGTCCGGTGAGGTCGCATGGGGGTGTGTTGTACTCACGGGATTGCCTGAAATGCGATTACAGGCCATTTCTGTGACTGCGTCGGGGATTACCCCTCATTAGTATTACGGGGAACCCCGTAGTCATCACATCGGTGCCTAAGCCTCTAACGAGAGGGACATGCGGGAGCTGTGCCCACCAGCAGGTGCGATACATGCTGCAGCAGGTGGGCGATACCGGCCAGGTGCCAGCCGGTGGTATCAGTGTCGGGCTTCTCCCATGGGCCAGTCGCTGTGCCTCCCCTCCGGTCCCCTCCCCCTATGAGCATCGAGGCAGTTTCTCCTCAATACCACTCGGAGAGGACAAAAAGCATATATCTGAGTAGCAGGCGTGGGTCCAGCCGGACAGCGCCAAGCAGCAGCGGGCAGGGCAAATAGCGCAGCGGGCGACGAGTACCGGCAAGGAGCGACGGGAGGCTGCAGAGGTGAAGAGAGGCAGCAAGCCACTGGATATTGCAGCAGCATAGAGAGCTGTCAGAAGCGTGACGGGCGCTGGCGCAGTAAAGCAGTTGAGACAAGCGAATGAACCTGGACATGGAGTAGGGCCGGGTGCATTCAGAAGGAGCAGAGATGGTGGAAGAAGGGGATGGGCAGCGAATGAACATAGCTCACTCGATCCTTATCGGATTCGAGGGAGGAAAGAGCCGATCCCGGGTTTTTGGCCACGGGCGAGTCGCATGGTGTAGTTAGTTTTAGAGTTAGGCTAGTAGATTTGGGGGTAGGAAGGAAACCGGATGCGCAAAGTGCCGACGATGGTGGATATGGAAGAATTGAAAACTATATGGCTCGCCCGATTCTTAACCGGGGGTTTTTCGGTGATGCGAGTGCGATGGTGTTGTTAGATTCGGGGTTAGTTGCGTAGGATTAGTAGTTAGTAGAGAGAATCCTTGCACGGAGCTGTTGAGTCATGTTGGAGGTGGTGGGAGTAAAAATTGAGATATCGCTCGATTCTTTATGGAATCGAGAAAATTAGAGTGTGTTTCGGGGGATTTTGAGTGGTGCGAATCGATTGACGGGCTCGGATCCGAAAACCGTGGAGTGGTTTGGCTACTACGATCTGTAGGGGCTGCGCCCAGGAGAGTAGTTCGTATTTTTGCAATGTATCTTCCCACGGTTTGAGGGAAGATGCATCCTTAGTTTTGTATGCTTAGTGGTGGTATGCTACGCTCAGGGCCAAACGGAAGGGGAAGATGTGCCGGTAAGAGAGGAGAGGAGAGAACCTGCCTGCTCGACAGGATTATCATGGCCATCTTCTTCAAAAGGGCCGGACCGTTTTTGTTTCTCGCTCCAGTACGGTTGCGAACGTCTTCGTAGAACGACGATGTTCTCCTTCGGGACCTTGTAATCGCCTTCGTAGTGGTCGCCTCACCACCACCAACATAGAGGGTTGTTCGTCTTACCGTATGATCATTGCGTTGCGGGAGGTAGGAGTTCCGAGTCTACTTATAGTCCTCGTTGTGTCCATTTTCAAGTTCCTGATCGTGGCCGGCTTGCTTTCGTCGTGCCCGCTAGGAGAGGAGTGAACCTGCATGGGAGGGGGCCGCATTTGTGTTTGCCCATCACGACAATGACTGTTGTTGACGAAGCCAGGCTGCGCCGACCGCTGTTGAGGAGAGGTGGGTGACTAGGAAGCCGGGCAACTAGGATTGGGCCACAATGACTGCAGACTCTTGTAAGTGCGAGCGAGGCGGCAGCCAGTTAGGCTGTTGACCGTTTTATTCGGTGTGTTGGTCATTCGGCTGTTATTGGATTGAAGTATCGTGAGATTCAGCCGCCGATTAGATACGTATCTGGCCGTGGCTTTGATGTTGGACAAAGGGGTGGGGGAACAACAACACGCTCGGAGACTCGCCTGTCCGGCCAAAGAGATGCCTACCAAGCTAAGCGGAGGGGCTGCAGGTGAGCCGCAGGGTTTAAGAATACTCCTATTGACTGACACGTTACTCATCCTGTCGTGTCAGACAACATGAACCCGGTTGAAAAACTTGCCTGTTGACCGGTGCGTTACTCAGCCTGTCGCACGGAGTGATCGGAGACAAGCAGCCAGGTTGGTAACTTACCTTTTGATTAATACGTTGCCCATACCGCTGGCTGGAGCCGCAGTAGACGAGCCACAGGAGGTGCAAACCTTCCCTTTCAGAAGGTGCGCCGACCATTTCGTCTATTGAACAGAGGAACTGTGTAACACCGCTCAGCCGGAGGTTAGGGACGGAGGGTTAGAGGTGGCGTTTGACTTTTATGAGGGAGTCATTGCGGTGGTTTAGAGAGACGCCAGAGACCCAACGGCTGATAGTTGGACGTCAATTTGACCAGACTGTTGCACAATTTGGCCATTATTGCAGGCCCTCAGGAGATTGAAGATTACAAGATCTCCTCGGAGTTGAGTCTGTCCCTCTCTTGTATCTTAAGCGTCTGAAAACCCTCTTTCTGCCCTTTTTATTCTGAGTCTAGTCTGGTTCTGAGAGGAAGGCGGCAGGCGGGATTGCAACCCGTAGGACCGCAGCAAGACTCAGTGGGGAGTCCACCCACCGATTATGGGAGCTCTGCCGGAACCTAGGCGAGGTTTTGGAGGCAGGAAACCATCAGGTATATCCTTTTCTATTTGTGTGACCCCACTATACCCCTGCTTGCCCATTTCCTTTTAGTTTGACTGATGTATGCACGAGACTGCCCCTATGACTTTGCTTTCTTTCAGGACCTAATCAGACTGAATGGAAGGAATGTGTGAGAGTGAAGCATAAGTTTATTTTTGTTTTGGATTGAAAGTAGACAAAGGGGGGTGAACTAGGGGAAGGTGGGAGAAAGGTAGACTGCATGCGTTTGACCGGGTCAACCAAGGACTGGGCATTGTTTCTAAGCTGAATGGCCCAGGGTTATGTTGATTTGGCTGTTTTTCTGAAGGGTCAGACATTGTTTCTAAGTTGAATGGTCTGGTTGTTGTGTTTAATCTATGAGGGTTTGCCTGATTTGAAGTGTTTAAGTTCTTGTTTTGTTCCGAGGGAGGATTTTGGTCTAAGGATGAGCATTGTTTCTAAGCTGAATGGTTTAGCCTGAAAACCACGCACATAAATATAAACTAAGTATAAAAGAAAGTTTTCTACTTGTATTTGCATGTGAAGTTGTGAACTGATAGTTGGGCATTGTTTCCAAGCCGAATGGTCCAGCGCTAAGTCATATCGCTAAGAAGAGAAGGGAAATTACAGAGTATAATTGGAAGTAGTCTGG